AATTAAATAATTTTAGCGTCAAAGTTTCAAAAGCACGTAATAGTTCTGGTACGTCCACTGTATTTAATAAGAGCAAATATAAGTAATAGGTAAAAAAAAAATCGTAAAAAATATAAAAAATCACTTAGAGCAAAAGCACATATTTATGAAAAGCAAGCGTCTAAATAATCTATGGATGACATGATGGAAAACATCAAATACATAATTGAACTAAAAAATTATGATGCGAGATCTTATATATGCTTAATTAATGCTTTATTAATCTTAGAAATCAGAAAATCGAACAATATCTATATAACAGAGAAAAACACATTGAAAAAAGAAATTAAAACATAGTCTAAGCAAAAGTAATGGTTAAGTACAATTAGCAGAAAAAAATTATTATTTATTCCCACATTTTCTTAATACAATCATTTAATATATGAAAAAAATTAAACACTTTGTTATAACAGTTAGCACGTAATATTTGATTAGCCAGAGTGACAGTCAATTGGTTCAAATCTATGCGATTTCAAGAATCATATCATATTATAATGTATCTCGAAAAATATTAAGGACCCGTTGAAGGTTCAACGACAAGTCCGACGAAAACCGGCGCTACGTTGTGTTTAATGGTGTAGTGGAACGGTCTGTCCGCGTTGAAAACTAGAGGCATACGTGGAGGAGCTGGTAATCCTAGTAAGAATATTACGTCTAAAAAAAATCAAGACCAAATTATACGAACGTGTCGACTTGGAGATACTTTCCCGCCCGAAGCTTTTTTATTAAGCATTATATAGCACAATCGATGCCAGCTTTCTATCGCATCGTAAAATTCTCACTGTCAAGCAACAAAGAGTTGAAAGATTGTGATAAAGATTATGTTCTACTCCTATAAGAAAAAGAATCTTAGCCAACAATTATAGAAGACCAGAAAACTGAAGAAACCTACGACAAAACTAACAAAAAAAGGGCTACAAAAATCAAACCATGGGGGACAATTTATTACAAATCAATACAAAATAATGATACAAATACAGACAGATACAGGTCTCTGTATTGATTTGTAATAAATTTTTCACGCTTCGACACTCGTTTTGGTTCTTACAGTCCTTTTTTCCGTTAGTTTTCTTGTTGTTATAGAATCATATGTTAGACCCCTACAATATTTTTCTATATGTTTGAAACTGACATGTAGCTTTTCCAATTGTATTAAACAGTACGAGAAGTAAGGATGTATTGTCATGTAGAGGAATTAGATATTGTGTGCATTATAACATTTCCCTAACAATCCAGATTGACAACACATAAGTCAAATGTAGTTATCACCACCATGCTGTTAATAGACGAAATCACATTATTGAAATTATATAAATGTAACATTATTAATACAAAATCAATTTTTGACACTGAAAATCATTAGAAACATAAGTCGAATTAATTTTTCATTAATAAATATATTTAAATATATAAAAGCATTAACAAATTCAATTAAATTCCAAATTATTGTAGTCATTAATTAATTTAAAAAATAACAAATTAATGTTTGTTGTTTTCAATGCATCTTTGGCAAACAAATTAATTTTAAGCTAAAAAATATATTGCATAATATATAATTCATTCGCTGATGATGTCGCTTGTCACTAATAGAAATATAATATGTAGGGGAGAAAACTAGATTTTCTCTTTAATTTTCTCTTTAATTTTCTCTTTGATTTTATGTATGAGACACGTCCGTTGATGATTGAAAGGCTACGGTACTTAATAGTAAAGTAGAAAGGTTTGTTGATCCTGAAAGTAAACCTTCGCGGCATCATCTTCAACATTAAATAGGGTGCTAAAAAAAAGTAGATACTGAATATTAATCAAACGCCTTGATATTAATTACATATATTTGTAATTAGTTTTGTTTATATTTGAAAATTGATTACATATTTTAATCACAACATTTATTTGCTGTAAAGCTCGCTAGAATGTTGTCTATCCTTCAACGTACCCCTATTTAAGTATTACCCCTATTTATTTATTGTATTTGCTTTTTTTTAAATTTATTTGTATATTTATTCATTAAATTTTTCCTAAGGCATTTTTTCTAATCCGACAGAGCTATAAAGGTAATTTTGCCGTAACATGCTTATTAATCAAATCCGTCACAAATTTCGATAACTGAAGGGGCGATAACAGTTTATTATCACTCTTCGTGATAATTATCTAATGATAATTTCTAATTATTTCTCAATAAACACATACATACCATACTTATCTAAATTTGGTCTGTCAAATTAATAAGCGGATCTCTTACGACAGTTAAGAATAGATTAGTATTTTTATACGATATAATAGTGACAAATGGTTGATTGCAAACTATCTCATTGTCATTCATTATTCTTGCCATAATCCTCATTTCTGAAAGAATGTAAAGAAGAAAAAAATAAAAAAAAGGAGATAGAGAGAAGACAGAAAAAGAAAAAATCGCAGATCCAGACTGCGATGTCGTATTATTAAACTCTGTCAAAAATAACAGGCCTGAATCATGAAAATATAAAAATATGTTCTGTCGATCTATCGATCAACCAATCATCAAAGAAGAAATTAATTAAAAGTCAGTCAGCTAGTAAAATAGCATGAACATTCTAATGTACGACTACAAACGAATGAAATGCAACGTTGACTATTTATGCTTCACTGTTCACTGTTTGCTATGTGATGAAATGCCATCGTTACGTCGAAGATTTCATATTGCAAACAATAAGTCGTGTTTATTGCGAAAAACATTGGCTACTATTACAAAACCACTATCAAATAATAATAACTAAATTAAAAATATTATATTGATGCGCAGTCTTATATATAAACATGTATATCTTATATATGTATGTGTATATATGTGCGAGTATAAAGATGAAATCTGGTTCGTGCGTTTTATATGTTTTACACACAAACAGTATCGAGCCTCTGCTTAATGCAGTGCTTAGATTACTCGTACGTGGCTATCGAATAAAGCCACATTTTGCGAATTGTGTTTGATCTGATAATAGAATGATCGGTTTATGTCAAACACTGGATCTGGTCTTATCTGCAAACTAACAACCACAGCTTGCAAGACTGCAAATACAATACAAATCATTAGCTGATATATTTGTTTGTCGATGGAATCCTTTAGCTTGCGCGTAGCACAAATGTACACTTTGTTCGCGCCGTTTTCAATTGATCATGCGAATTTTTACACACCCAATTTTATGCCAATGCCAATTGCTGTGAAACTTGAAGTACAGTAGATGTTAAGTAAGTGGAAAGTTATATGTTGAAGAAATTAAAAATTGCACGCTATTACAATACTGTTGAAATTTTTAATTTTATATCAATCAAATAATCACCCCTGTTCGAGAACAAACATTAACCTGTCTCTCAATCTCGTGGATTCATTTGTAGTAAACTTACATTTAAGATTTATATACGACGTACTCTCTGAGGATATTTTCATATTAAACGATTTAATACACTTCTGGCGCATTAACGTGGCCCTCAAACAAAGATACATTCGACGGCTGGTGACGGATTTGATAATAAAACGGGCGATCTACGTCGAACGAATAGCTGATTGATATACTGGCAACCGCAATAACTCCTACTGAAAACAGAACATAAAAAGTCGTTCGTTATGTGTTCGAATGATCAAGACTGTTTCGCTGACGTTACGAACGATGTATACTCTGTCGAACTAGCTGCTTCGAATTGAACATTTCAATCTCTCATTAATTATTGTGCCGAATGTTGTCACACATCTGGCTGTATAAAAGTTGGTTCATAACATAGATACATAAACATGCATATTATTCGAGAAATAATGCATGATATTTGACAAACAAATAAAAAGCATCACAAAAGATTACACAAATTATGGCTTTTTTACATGAAAAATTGCCAAATTGCAATCCTAAAATCATGTTATCACGATCAGATTAAGCAAATGTTAAAGATATGTTCAGCTGAAACGAGAATCATGATAAAAATAAATAGCTTTTGCTGAAAGCTTTTCATGGATTTCCTCACATAATTATTATAATGCAATCACAAAATTTTGAAACCATGCTTCATGAGAGAATATCTATTACACGTCTGTCAAGTTTATGCGACCCTCAAACAAAGATATGAATGATTTACTGTTATTGTAACGAATATGATAGTAGAACGGTAGGTTTGCGTCGAATACTACGGGTTTTAGCCAGATTCTGTCAACTGCAATCACAACTGTGAACAGAATATAAGAGATTGCTCGTTATATATTAGATCATTACTCGGAGGAGTTGCTTTTATCCGTGCTACAAAAGTATGCTTTGTCGAACTTGCTGCTTCGAAATAATATAGACTTCTTTTTATATATTATAAACTTTTTATAAATTTTTACATCATCGGTGTTATCTTACAATTCTGACTCACTCACACGACCCTCAAACAAAGATATGAACGATTTGTTGTTGTTATAACGAATATAATAATAGAATGATCGATTTTATGTCGAATACTAAGGGTTCCTTCCAGCTTTGTCCTGATTTTTTAACTGCAATTACAACTGTAAACAAAATATTTCGTTATATAAGAAATTGCTTCTTACATAGTCGCTTTATTATTCAAAACTGCTTTCATCCATGCCACGAAGTTTTGTCGAATTTGCTGTTTCAAAATAATTACATAACTTTAACTTATTGTTCAATTATTCTGTCAAAAAATTGACTCAATTTTGAAGATAAATAATGATTTAGAATATAAAATAGTGTTTTAAAAACAAATAAGAAGTGCTACAATTATCACAGATATTACAATCCCTATGATTTCCTGTAGCAAATTTAAAGAAAAATTTTAGATAAAATAAGTGTTAAAAACGCCCAGCTAAAAATTATGATAAAATAATATAATTTGTCAATAGACTTTATAAATTTTTAGATCGACGATGATATCTAGTTAAATTCTGGTACAATCACGCAACCCTCAAGCAAGGATAAAAACGATTTGTCGTAACGAATATAATAATAAAACGGTTTATTTATATTAAATAATTCTTCCCAGTTTTCTAAGTATCCTATTAGGAACACAAATTCACCTGTGAACAAGAATAAAAGATTGCTCATAATATATTTTGTTGTATATTCGCTTGATTATTCGGAGCTTCTTTTATTCATGCCGCAAAGATATGCTTTGCCAAATTTGCAGCTTCGAAAGGACTGCATAATTTTAATATTTTATCAATTATTCTGTCAAATGATTGACATTAATTATAAAAGTGAAGATAATTTGGAGTATAAAATACATAACACGTGTATGCATTTTATAAATAAATAAGAAGCGCTACACATATTGCAATTACACGGATATTACAATCTGTATGATTTCTTACAGCAAATCTCGGAAAATTTGGAAAGTTTTAAATCGCAAGAAAAACGTCCAGCTAATATAAGAGTTGTGACAAAATTGTATATCTTGTCAATGTTGCAGACTTTTTATAAATTTGTTCACAAACGCTATAATGCGGCCCCTAAATTATCAGATCGACAATGCCATCTATTATAATTCTGGTATATTCATACGACCCTCAAACAAAGATACGAATGAAGTTCCCTCGTTATAACGAATATGAAAATAAAACGGTCGATTTGCGTCAAAGATTAATGGTTCTGCGATTTCTATCAGTGATTCAACAGCAATTTCGACAACTGTGAACAAAATACATGAGATCGCTTATTATCCATTCGTTTGATCGTTCTTTCACGAATGTATGCTTTGTTGCCGCTTCGCATTTAATATGTCTTGATCTCTCACAAATTATTCTACTGTATAATATATAATTTTGTAATTAGCTAGATATACAGGATGCTCCATTCAATCTGTCCATGATACACTCGGAAACGTGTAGACTTAGACCAAAAATAAAAAAAAAAAACCCCTTCAATGGAATTACTTGAAGACAATTTTCTGCATGATGATATCATACTCTCCCTCACTAGATTTTGAGGAGAAAAGGGGAGATTACATTTTTTAAATAAAAACCGCCAAAGCACACAAACGCGAATAAATACGCAGACACAGATATTGGCGCGGATTGAGCAAACAAAAAATTAATTGTTGTAATATTCAAGACAAATCCATAAAATCATAGGTCATTGGATTCGTCTTTTCGAGACCTATCGATTGGTGTTCTTTTTGTCGAGAGTTTCCATTTGAGAAAAGTGATCTCGCTTCCGCCCTCAAACTTGGAGGAGGGTATGATATTATCACACAGAAAATCATCTTTAAATAATTTAATTAAAGAGGCTTTTATTTTTTGTATAATTCTATATGTTTCCGAGATATTAGCGTAGACAGATTGAATCGAGCATCCTGTATAACTAATGATTCAAAACTTAAATACACGTGTATGTTAATCGCCAATGAATAGATGCATGTTGTTAGAAAATAGAATGAGAAATGTTATAGATATCAAGATTATATTAAATGTAAAAAATTTATATTGATGAGATCACACGAGAATGATAGAAACAAGAACTTTTTATGAATTTGTGCGTTATAAACATTAAATTTTTAAATAGATTAAAAACTGTTTATGTAATATCTACTGCACTCTTGGCGCGATCACGTGACCCTCGAACAAAGATACGAACGATGTCTCTTCTTTATAACGAATGTAATAATAAAACGGTCGGTCTATTTTGAACTCTAGCGATGTTGGAGCCCGATGTCCACTAAGTAGCAAGGATAAAAGAGCTGCGAACAAAATATCAACAATCAGACGTTATTATCAATGATACTCGAGGAAATCGTTCCTTTCTCGACAATGTACGTCACGAATGTACGCTTTGCATGCTCCACTACGAAACTTGATCAGCTCCACTGCGAAAATATATTTTTTTAAGAACGTTTCAACGTTTCCGTCGAATTTTTATGCTCGTAAGAATTCTGTCATTGGATGAATAAGTATCTCAATAAAGTGACCACCTATCACCATGAGAGTTTGAGAAATAATCAATTGCTTGCGAGATGTGGAAGAATTACACTACGTAGCGATCGAAAGTAAATGATCATGATTGAGCGAAGAAAAGAAAGAGAAAAAAGGGGGTAAGCAGATTAATAGGCATGTCTTACAGATTGCTTAGCTGCTACCGCATTGTATTTTGATGTATTCACATATGCGATAGGTCTCGTTAACTTCTCGGATCATGCACGTGGCCTCCGAACAGTTCAAGATTGTTCGAAACTTGCACTGCGAATGAAAATGGCCTGTTCACTTCGAAGTTCACGAAATCAGGTAGAAATCTTCGGCTGCTGATGCCTACCAGAAAAACGTCAAAGTCCATTATGTAAATTTTTTACGACAAAAGTTCGAAGAAGCGACCAGAAAGCGTCGAAGTACCTTTAGATAAGTTCGAGACAACACGTTTGCTTGCAGCTTTAATCCGTCATTTTCGAAGAAATTTATAATCATATTTATAAAAAATTAATATTGTGCGTATCCCCTTCTCCATATAAAACATTATCAATATTAATATTTTTGTCATGCTATTTCAGATTAATTATATTGCAACTATAACAGAAAACAAATATCAAATTTTGTGTTACTAAAAAAATTAATACCTTTTGAACCAATTTAAATGCACTTCGAATTCTCAGATGGACACGTCGCGCTAAAAAATTTAACAAATAAAACTAAAAAAATCAGTAGAAATAAAAAATTAATTAAAAATTGAATAAAGTTATATATATATAAAATAGAAAAGCAAAAGTAAATATAAAACTGGACAATTAAAATATAAATTTTCTATTTTCTATTTGTGAAGTTCGTTAAAAATGGTCATCCATGTGTAGCAGAAAAACTCATTAAATATACATAATATAATTAAACAAAAAGTATTTTCTTAATATCAATCATACTTTAATGTGTGGTAAAAATTGCATCTTCTCGATCCTTAATTCAAAGCCAATGCACAATCCATTATAATTTAAATAACTAAAAATTTAAAAAATTATATAATATCACCTAGTTTTACTTATCATGATATAGCATCACAATAACATTTTATACGAAATGTATATATTTTATTCATTATAGCTCCCTCTCTCTCTCTCTCTTTTAGTAATCACATATCAGAATCTTTTTCTGAGAAGAGAGCCGCCGAGTATGCGAGTTATAAAAGTACATAAATAATTAAAAAAGATCGTCAAATAACGGCGATAATACATATAAGAGTATCGTTACTTTTTTTCAGCAAAAAGTATAAATATGCACTACCACAGGATCTTCACTAGGAACAACGCAACGTTGCGGTGTTTAACGATCGCCAGGAAAGGATGATCGACCTGAAGTATAATAGGCTCCGGCGGTTTCCAAACGCTCGAAAGAGGTCTGACAGAGATACCTGTCAGAAGATCATTCCTTGCATCAATTATCTGTTTCTATCAAAAAACTTGCCGAGCTATGCGACCAGAGCGCACATATGTGAAATGCTCAGATGAAATACATTACTGCGATACTATTGATTAAATTTATTATCCATGCGAGGAACTTGATCAGAGTGAACAGATTCTGTGTAGTTAGATTCGAAAATATAGGAAAAAGAAAGGAAAAATATCGTTGTATGCATAATACTACGAAATTGATAAAGTGAGCTGCTCGCTTTTTATACGTTTTATCTTTATACCATTTACATTTTTTAGAAAGTTTTTAAATTTTAATCTATTAATTTGTATTTTAATTTTTTGTATCTAATCTGCAGATTTATCAAACCCATATTTTTTGCCAATTTCTTCATACAATTGTATAAAAAATAGCATTTTGAAACCAGAGGAAAACACGATTGCTTTGTTCTTATGGCACATGAAATGCGGTGGGATGAGGGCCGTTTAGGACAAAGTTGATTTTCAGAAAAAGTTTTACGAAAATATTGAGATTTTTCCGTAAGACTTTTCGCCATCTTTTCCTCTCTCTTTTTCCTAGAATTTATTAGTCCGAGTTGTTGCTACGGTTAGAGTGGAATGGTGTAATCTACTGATAGATGATTAGACAGGATTTATTACTCACAGTAAATTTTGTGTTCATTTCATATTCGCGTAATATCGCGATCATATTGTAATTCGTGTTGTAATTGCGAAACGCATGATTTCGCAACAATTTACAATTAGTAAAAGTAGTTCAATGTTGGTTGTCTAAAAATTTGGTAAATTTCACTTGGACGTGATTTCGCGTCCAAAAGTTTGGAGCTTCTGCTACTTCAACATTCAATCATTTGCGTTTCTTTTTCAGAAATAAATCGCAAGAGATAATAAGGTCTAATTTAGATAAAAATTTCAAATTTAAAAATTTTTTAAATTTGAATTTTAGTTATTTAAAGTTTCCAATCGGTTTTATACAATTTTCCCACAAGACAGATATTTATAATACGAACACACACTGTGTATTCGTCATATTTTCATGTTAATTACATGAAAGATTTGTTGCTCATTGAGCGTTGATAATCACGAGACCAAAATGTGTCAATTATTATAAAATTTTCGTTCAATCATTCAAGATTTTTCGTTTATCATAAAAATAAAAAAATAGATTATATAAATGCCAATGCAATTTTTGTGCTATATATTATTGTAATAACAATATCAATTGATGCAAAGTGAGTAATAGGTGCACAAACAAGATGCAAAGTGAGTAATAGGTGCACAAACAAGATGCAAAGCGGTGTGGTTAAGCGTTGCTGTGGTAATAAGCATTGCAATAGCGTATTGATAAAGATAATAACAAAGGCAAAGATTGAAAAACAGAAGACAGTGAAAAGTATACTGTGCATAGCAGATTCATCGACGTAAAAAGTAAATGAGTAACATTTAGCTATCACACTCATTGTCAGCTTAAAATCACGATAGCGTACAAAGTATGCATCCGTGTCGCAGAAACTCTGAGAGCGAGGAAATTTAGAATGGTGCAATGCTAACATCAATATAACATCAATACAACATCAACACATGCATAGGCATTATCGAATTATCTCCGCAAACAATTTCTCAGAGTTTCTCAGAAGCAAAACAGAATCTCAATATAACCCAATAATAAAAATGGGCGAAATACTATCTGGCTTTTTTAACAAGAAATTATTATTGCTTTATATATTTATTACTCGTATTATTTTTATTATTCTTGCGCTCTATTTTGATTAAAAATAATATTCTTAAATTATTGTATTATAGTTTTCTCAAAATTATAAAAAATAAATTCCATATTAATAAAAATTATAAAATTACATAAAAGACTCTAATGCAAAATAAAGTACGTAGGCAAAATGATAAAGTATGATAAAAAATCCAAGATACTTGCTTGAAAAAATCATTTAAATCGCCTGTCATTTTTCCTAATTAAAAATTATTTGTCACTTTGAAAGACCAAGATAATACTTCGCCTGTCTTCGGCTATAAACGAGAAAAATGCAAAAACTGTAGCAAAGTGTACTTACCGGTGACGGCGGCAGCTTCACTACCTTCCTCGTTAACCTCGATGAAAGCCTTCTGCACAACTTTGTCAATCTTCAAAGGAATATCTGAGATACCACTGAAATCGGCGCTATTGGTGAACGGCTGAGTAAGACCCATCTGTAAAAAATTATTTAGCGTGTCAGATATAATACCATCAATTATCGTTCAGTTATATCTAAAAATATTTCGACATACCTTTTCAGACAAAGTATTTCCTAGATCCAATTTAGTCTCGGTTTTAAACTTAGGTAAATACACCTTAACTTCACGCTCATATGTTTGAGTAAGACGAACGGAGCATTGTGTGGTAACTTCCTCAAGTTTATCGGTCAATGCGCTCAGACCATCGATTTTATTGGGCAATATAATCACCATGCTGATATCTTTGTTCTGCAACAATAACAAATCCGTGAATATTTGTGAAAGCGTCGAAAATGAGCACTTACAGTAAACAGCAACAAAATCTTAGACATGTAAAAAATTTTTTGAGATTTAAAAAATTTCCAAAATTTATAAAAGAAACATTACCGCGTATGGCAGCTCGATGCATTTAACCTCGTATTCTGGTAATTCCACGAATTTGTAATTGCCCTTTCTGTACATAGTCGGCACCGATTTCGATTTAGTGCTGTCAATGTGAAATGGACGGTCGGTAGTGTCTTTAGGATCGAACTCGTTGGCCCATTTTCCCTTGAAGTACACTGCGTTGGCTAACACTAGTGCGGTACCAGGATCCAAATCAGCTATAAGTTAATGATATAAGTCACTATGAGTATTGTTCAAAATCAGAAAAATCTAATAAATCTGATTCTTTGCATTTTCTCTTCGATTGCAAAATAGTTAATTGTATTTTATGTAATTTGTATTGTATGTCTAATATAAAACTGTAAGTTATTTTGCTTCCATGTTATTTAATATTATATTATTACGTACAAAAGAGAAGATAACATTACGTTAACAGTCACGTTTTCGGTGGTTAGAATTATTATTCGAATTATCGATAAATATAAAACATGTAAACTGCTTCTTACCGGCCTGAACGATACTGTCGATGCGATTGTTAGTCTTTTCTTTGCACCAGGTATTGATGGTGTTTGCAGCATTTGCACTTTGACTAAAGTCTACCGAGTCGATGTCAGAATGATAATGTGAAACAAGATTCTGCTTGTATTCGGGTTTCACTGGGAACTTCTCAGCGACAAACAATTTATTGGCGAGCTTCAAGGTAACGTTCTCAACATTCTGCAAAGATAATATGTGCCATTTCAATTAATACTATTCGAGAATTAAAAGTATATTGAGAAGTGTGGCTTGAAATAATGTGAATAATTATAATTATGTTCTATAATGCAATTTAATAGTTACATTCAAGATTTCAATAAGATTCTGGTAACCGCTTAAAGTTTGCGCCTTATCATTCGGAAGTTTCAGAACATCTTTGAACTGCGCCTCGGTAGTTCCAGCGGCACCGACAGCGGCCATGCTCAAAGCAATGTTGGCACTCAGAGGAGAGCATATCAGATTACCTGTCTGATCCTTCGAAATAGTCTAAAAATAAAATACGATTGTTTATTATAAACCCACGTTTAATTCTATGATAAAGAGAATTTTTTCAAAAGAGATTGAGGAGTATCTAAATCTACTACGTACCTTGACAAAGTTGTGGGCGAACAAATTATTGCCTTGACTAACAGCCTGAAGGGCCAAATTAGATCCAGTTGGTGAGGCCATAGCTGATGCAATTAGGCAAAGTGCCAAAAAACTTCTTTGTACTGTAACAGTAAAAAGAAAAAAAGAATTAATAGAAAATTCATCGCGATATAATCTCAATACAGTATTAATTTTATCAATATATTAATTTTATAAAATTAATCATAGAACAAATTTAAATCTTTTTGCAGTTCCTTATACGATCGCTTTTAAAAGAAGATAACGCTGCGACTCGATATATCAATATAACGATAAACTGTGTTAAAATTTAACGCAAACACCATTTTCAATTGTAGAATCTCTGTCCAAAATTGAACACTTGCGAATGAAGATCGTATACAAATCGAAGTGTCGGGTATGTCGTCCAAGGTGAACACGAAACTACTACTATCACAAATCTTGTATGCACACATTAATGCAAACATGTCTATATGATAGACTGATACGAGATATAAAGATTTTTTAAGGATCGCCATATGAAGATTAGAACGATACAAATAACAATAACAGCGTTTCGTTTTCATGAAACTAATAAAAAGCGATATTTTATGAACTAGGTTATCTATAGATAAATTAATTCAAAAGCTTGTGACGATAAAATTTAAATCTTAAAAAAAATTTATAATTATTTTTATACATAAAAATATTTTATTATATAAAACAAGTCACCCAATTTGATTGCATTATTAAAAATATTTAATTAAACTAATTATTACATTAAATAAAATATTGTGTAACAAAATTCATACCAGCTTTTTTCTGTACATTTTTCAGTCATAAATATATTTAGCTATTTTCTTTACCGGTTTTCCTGCGTTAATTAATTTTATTGTTTTTCACTATCTTGAGACTTTAGTCAGGTAATTCTCGCGATGAATCACACGTGGAAATCAGAAAATAACTAGTAGAAACGAAATAATAACTAGTAATTATTCGTACTTATGATCATTAAGCAACGCAGATGCTTAAGAACAGTATAAATAGGACGATTGTTCGCGACGGACATTGTTAGATTCTTGATATAATAAATCATGTCTGATTCGATATGAATCATATTCAATGTTCTCACATATACGTCAAACTCCTTTTGCTTATATAAAAAAAAAAATTAATAATTTAATTGCAAAAAACAACCAGTTGTACAACACATGGTGTTGCTAACATGTGTTAAAGTATTATTATAAATATTCACAAACACAATTTATCGCTATTTTATTTAATAGAAATAAATCTAATAATTAATTCTATTTTTTTGTTCTGACTTTGGCTTTTTTTGAAGAGTTTAAAATAATATTAATAATAAGAATGTAATTAAAACTTGTAATTTCCTGAAAAATTTTCATGTAAATCATTATGTAAATAATAATCAGTCTACAAGTATACAAATTCACAATTCATGCCAAACATCGTTGGCTGTTATTAGTCTTAATTGCATGGCATAAATCAGTTTTCAACAGACCACATATCTGAACTTTTAACGGTATGACTGATCGGTTATGTAAATTTTGCGAATAAGCTAAACATACTGCGAGTTCAGATAAAACATCGTTTTTTTCTTTTGTTTATTGTCGATATTTTGAGTTCCGACAACCGAATAATCACGAGTGAAGATGCAATAAAATAAATTGAAAATTAATTACGAAATCGGTCAAGAAAGAGCAGATATAAGAGCAATGATAAACAGAATTATATACAACGAAGTGATAATAAAAAGTATTGCTTCACACTTCAAAGTATAAACTTTATCAAATTAGCCTTTAAAATTATAGAGGGCAAACGTTTAACAATTATATAATCTGGCAATAATCGTAATATCAGCAGGTCATTTACACGATATTCGAGGGTCATCATCTTTCTTTGCTCATCAATCATTTATCTTACTTTCTTTTCTCATACTTCTCAGACTTAAACGTTCCTTGTTAAAACTTAAAATTAATTTTTTAAAAGCTGAAATAAAAAAAATTCTCAAAGTTTGCTCTAAAAAATATTTGTATATATAAAACTTACTCAAAAAATGATATAATTTCATTTTTTCTGCGGTACGTATTAGATGTCATTATTATTTATGTATCTGTAATGTTTTAAATTTTAATAAAATAATATGACTTCGTTATCTGTTTACGTTTCACGAGGCATAATTAACCGAAACTTCTTAGTCTTCTCAGCTTTTCTTAGTTCAACAAAAGAATGCACTTCAGTATTGAAAAAAATCACCATTTACAGTTTGACCTTCTGCATTTGTCATTGAAAGAAAGGATAATGAACCTGAGAATTTCAGTACACGTAATTATACTGTTGCGTAACAACTTTGGAAGAAGAATATAAAATATACAGTTTGCATTATATGTTGTGACACAAGCGGGAAAAATCATGTAACAAATATTACGTACAATCTATTTATCGTTTTGTGCAGCGATATCTTTAATTACTGAGAAATTGCGCATGATAGCGCATGATAGTTATGGCAGCAATTAAATTACATCAAACTATCACTTTTATCATGAAAGTTGTTTCTACAAAATATTGAAAGATAAAAATATGACGTAAAATCGAGCAGAGAAAGAAAAATTTCGAGAAAGAAAACAGTCTAAAAATATTTAATTGTTAAGTAATATTAATTTAAACATAATGATTTTAATTTTTCTATCTTTTTTTATTTTAATATCGTCACACATAACCCTTTCAGATTTGATTATCAAATTTGTCAGAATTAAATTTTTTAAAGAAAGAAATTTCGATAATGCATTGCAAAAAATATTCGTCGCAAATATACACATAATAGTGGAATTTTCAGAATTGTTTAATACAAGAATTAAACGATATAAATATGCGATGAGATTTCGCAGTATTTAACGATAAAGTAAGGATTGCGAATAAAAACATCACGGAATCAACGCCATTGAAGCTGCTGCCTCATTGGGAAAAACCCATCAAAATAGTCTCGTTATGTGTACGTTCAATTACGTACACGGAGAAATTTTATATGAAAAATTACTATGCACAGTAGTAGCCACAGATCATGAAAGAATTATAAAAATTGATGCTATGTTTTTCTCTGCCATATCATAATTTTTTATATAAAAATTTCTCCGTTTATGACAATTGAATATATGAGACGAACAAGAAATGAATATAATAAATTTATGAGCAATTTTACTCAATGTGTAATGCTTTCTCGATAAGAACTTTCTTATTTATAAAGGAAATGAGAAAAAATCTTATTTTATTAATATTTACAAATATTTATGACAGAAACATCAACGGAATAATCAAGACGTAATTGATCAATCAATGCACAATGTATGTGTGCAGAAAACAATAGTATAATTATGTCTTATTAAACAGAAAATCGTGCGAAAATGCAAGTTTTTTTGTTCGAATTTTTTTTTCTTTTCTTGACTCCGCGTAAGCTTAGTTTACGATAGAGATTACGTTAGAGGGATTTTACAACAAACTACTTATGTTAGTGTTAATAAAGTAAATTATAAAATAAAATTAAGCAGTATTACTCATTAAGTCATGTAATCGCGTATGCATATTACAAATTTGCAGATATGAAAGGCTCGATAATTATTTTATTTCTACAATTAAGCTGGAAAAAAGATGACGTATAAAATATTTAAATTGATGAGATAAATTGAGTAAAATATTGAACTAAAACTCATACAAAAATCATAATACGCAGTTTTTAATTAATGTGCGCAAAAATTGAAGTATTTTTACTAACTTATTAAATTTTGTAAAATTGAACCTTCATTTATGCAATGGCTAGTAAATTTAAAAATAAAAATCAATGTTGTTCTTAGATTTATTCCTACAACATTTAATTTGGATAAAACTATTTTATAAAATCATAAACTAAAAACTTTGGAAAATACAATTTATCCCATTAAACTACGCGAAATCTATACAATCTTTTCCTATTTTTGTTTCTTCCTCTTTTCATTGATAAAAATCATTCAACATAAATATTTTATAATACAGCATAAATTTGCACTGTCGATCGTAGTAGAATGCATATTACGTCTAGCCAATAGAAGTAACGATACTAATCAACTTATAATGAAAGAAAAGTTCACGCCTTGCAACGCGAAATGAGTCACATCAAACAAGAACGGTATCCAGCTCGTCGATGTGGATTACCTTGGAACGACTATCTCGAAGAACTTACGACTCGCCGGTTACATTATCGCCGGTTCGACAATTCGGTGCGCATCGATAAAACGTCGTCATCATCGAGTTCAGAGGGAATTCGGCGAGACGAATAACAGCGCGTGCGGGGTTATCGCCGCTCGAAAGTGATATTGACTGATTTGATCATGTCAACACTAAAGAAATCAAGAAGTTAAAAAAGAAGAAATTCTATTTTGCTCATTTTATTTTATCAATTTTCTCTGAATTTTTCTTCGCGACTTGTTTTATCTCGAGTTTTCCTTTATCATGTTTATGATTTTTTATCCTTAGGACTTCTTTTGTGTGTGAAACATTTTAATTCTTAGAAAAAGAACATTATATAATTCAGTACCTATCATATACACAGGAAATTAGATTTATCATGAAAAACTTGAGGAAACATTTGAGATGTAGATTTAAAAATGGTTTGATGAAGCATGTGCATTTTTGCACAACAGTTTTTTAATCAATCCTCTCTTGTTAAAATTATTTGTTAGACTTAAGAAGCAATCGATACATAGAAATTAAATAATATAAATGCTGAATCTCTGTATTTCTAAGACACGAAACCTAGAAATGTTTTCACACTGTAACCTTAAAGACAAATACAAATAAAACAAAAATAAAATCAATATATAATTTGAAAGTCGCGTGAGGCAATAGACAGTTAGCTGTATTATTTGCTTGAAAAACAACTAGATGTTATATGAACATAAAACGTTTTCGAATGTGATTAATTCGAGACAATTTTATAAAATTTCTGGCAATTTTACAGACTCCTCAGTATTGTATTCTATAAAACAACCAGTTTTAGGAGTTTTATAAAAACATTAATTACATTACCTTCATATGCATGCCTAAAAAGCATTATACATACAATTACGATATGTAATTAACAATTCTAACTTTTAATTTGTTAAAAATATTCTGCAATATTTTTACACAAAAAATTTAAGAAGCTAAATGTGCAATTTCTATTATAATATTCAAGATTAGACGCAAATTCAAGAACTAATTATTAATTATACGAATAAATGTGAAAAGATCATTTTAACTGTTTGTACAATTTCAGAATCTAAGATTATATCGATTTCAATTACTATTTCGCAAGTTTCAATATCCACTGAAGAACGATCGATTTTATTAGTATCCGATATCGGTTGTATTTACAAAAAGTAAAACGCGCGGGGCAATAAGAACCGATCCGATAACAACTCATGTCGCTATTGATTTATAGATCTACTCACGTGTGCACATCTTGTCTGCCAGAGATGCTTCCTTCAAGCGTTGAACGCGTACTGCGATGGATTAGCCGGCGAGCGAATGTAAAATAGCGGTCGTTGGTACCCCCTCAGGAAAACCTCGCCACCGACGTAAACGATCACGACCAATCGTGTTGAAACGCGCGTTCGAACGGTTCGCTTCGCCGTGACTTCTTAATCAATCGCGACTCTGAGAAACCCGCACGCAAGTCGGCCCAAATTGTAAACACATGAATACTATGAAAATCGACAAATATCATTGCTTCCCCCATTCCGTTCATTCGCGAAAAGCCGACTGTCGATCTCTCGCGTCGATCGTCGATTTGAATCACGATCGAGACGTCTTCCAATTAGAAATCGAATCCGATATAATCTTATAATAATTTGTCTATTTCTTACTTTCTTTTTTCTGCAAATCAAAATGTGAAAATCATTTTCGCAAAATTAAAGCATCAGAAATTGAAAATCGAGATGAACTATGATTTTTCGATTCATACTTTTAATACACATTACCGGTTTCATATCTTCTCGTACCGTTTCCTTTTTATCTCTCAGCTATCGTAGTCTTGAATTTACAATATGAAAACTCTTTGACTGTGTATTGTTATATATCTTCTCAGAAGTAAATTCATTTATAGGAGGATCTTAATAACCAAAGAGCTTAAACTCTTACTCTACCAAGGTAGGAAACCTGTTCCATGAAACCAGTTTCCAAGTGCAAGGTTAAATTCATAAGCGTACTGACACTTTCCACTTTAATTTACATACGTAATCACGCAAACATTTGCGTAGGTGCGCTTGACAACAAATGCGTATTAACCTGTGTGTACTTTGTGTGTGTCAACTTCGTCATTCTCTTCTGAAATTTTAGGTATAAGATTGTTAGAATATCAAATGTAATTTTTGTTATATAATAATTGCGTAAAATTTGCAATTATTAAATGTGACATTAATAAATCAACGTATTCCCACCGCATCACTCACTGTTAAAAAATTAAAAAAAAAAAAAAAAATTTATTTCAATTATGAAATACCACAATAAATCATCTTTGGACTGCTATTTTGGAGCACACTGAGCATACAAATATATATATTAGCATTTAACATTTAGCATATACTTCTATAGACGTTGAAATCTCACATAACACTTTGCAATATAGCTAATAATAAGTTTATTCATTGCCGTTCAAAGATATATTTCTTTTTACAAAATCTAGCAGGAAAAAGTCGTCTGACGATACACTACGTGGCAAAACCGGTTATTCTACGAGATTATCCTGAATAGGCGTTATAACCTGTTAATATAGCTTCGCGATAAGACCTGACTGCATAAGAGCGGATGAAACAAAATCGAGCATTCTTTGGACATCTTTTGATAAATAAATTCAAATCTTATGAACAGTTCAGTTTCTAGTAAATATTACTTCCTCGAAATAATGTAGATTGATTTCAATCTTTTGAAAAATTTATATTTCTTTCAGCATTTCCTATTAAGTATTTATTTCAAATATTTCGACAATTTTATTTATCAAAATAAATATATGACACATATATTTAAATTAAGTTTAAAGCTCACAATTTTTTAAATGAGAAATTAATTAAAACAAGTGATGAGATAGAATTTTACACTTGTTGTAAAAGATTGAAAACAACAAGACACATTTGTTTGCTACAAGTTAAATTTTCATAGCATAAATAGTAGTAATCAGTTCAATGAACGTGATTATTCGTAAAAAAAATGTGTAAACCTTGCATTCCTTCTTGCAGATTAACGTCATAAAAGCCAGTTCAAGTTTATGAGATTATGCAGAATAAGTTGTTTTTATCTATCTACTACAAAATTACCATTAAATTCCAACATCCTGAAGGTAAGAAAAATTGATCGTTACGTAGATAATCGGTTTTCCCGAAATTCTTTGAATTAGCGTGCGTGCGAGAAGATGGTTATGACGTACACAGAAATTTTTAGACAATCTTATAATGATAAAATAAATAAGTATGGTAATAAACAATCGATTATTTTTAAAAATCAACCTATTTTTATCTTTAAAAGTATTTAATTTATTTATTATAAATGTATCTTTAGTATTTCAAAATTTCTAGCTTTTTAAATAGATGTTTTCTTTATGAAAAATTCAATTTTTAATAAATTTTCGAAATGAACAAAACTACTTTGTAATTGTTTGTAAAAAATTTGCGCTTATTGCACACTTATTATTATATGATATTCTCTACATTTATCTCAAGGTCATCCATATATGAACATATGAGTAGCCGGTCTTCCATGTGCTACTGCTAAAAATGTTAAATACACAGCTGTTTGAAAAATTCCAAAAATTACCGTTCACGTAAAAACGAACGATTTGATTAATCCAACAATGCAAAAAATTTATTTATTTATATTTCAATTTTAGAAGTATTTTAGAAGTATTTTAGAAGTATTCATCCAATGACAATTATCTTAATAATTATTAGATAAAACTACTTTAATAATCGATATCAGAAATATTTCCATATGGAAATCAGCTGACAATTCAATGCATCAAGGTTATTTAATTATATTTGAATTGTTATATTTTAATTATTTTATTCTAGAGAATCGGTGGGTGTCACACATATCACATATGTCTAAACGTTGACGTCACCAAACTATAATAAGTCGACGTCGATGAGTGTAATTACATATGACTCATGCGACCAAATTCACGAAAACAGCCGGTATGCATTGTATCACTCTACAATTGACATACAAATTCATATATCAAGTTACCTGAACGATGAATGTTTGTGAATCCACACTTATGGGATAGCTCAGTAACTTCCGGAGTTTATCCACACCTACACTTGGTAATTCAACGTAACAAATTTATATATTTGATAAATTTTTCTTCAAATAGCTCAACACTCCCAAGTTCGCACTTACTTATCCACCATATTATGTGTCATCGAGTTTTGTTTTCGACTCAACCGTGTTTCGACTAATCGAGGAGTCGTACTAGTCATAGATCGATAGTGCAATGAAAACGCGCAGGTTTAAACGCGTCAACAGGTGATGTGTTGGCAATTCATTCGTCATACTTTATCCAAAAATAGTTTGTTACATTATAACAAAGTAATTGTGTGACATTGCGACATCTAGTGCGCCTAATTGCGTATAATCTTATTTCCGTTAAATTAGAATTATCAGATAAATATTTATGAAAAATTAGAAAAAGATTGGCAAAATTCCAAGCTACTTTCTAATGACACAATTAAGTTTGATTATTGTTTATAAGAATAATCTATTATAACTGATTTATTATATTATTTAAAAAAATTTGACGTTTAATTGTAAGAAATAATAATAAATAGTTATTATTATTAGTCAATTCATATGTTTTTTATCAATTCAATGAAGAATTGTTTCTAAGTAGAAATAAATATCGATATAAAAACTGAAAAATTGTTGTCATTAATACAATTATTTAACCACTTTCTTGGTTTTTGCAAATATACATTCTGTAATTTGACAGGAAAGCGATTAATATTGAAACTTAGTTCAAGAAAAATCGTTCTTTCTTACTTTCTTACGATTGCTTCATAAAACATATGGCATTAAAAAAAAAAGTCATGACTTTTAAACTCAGTATGTTTATCTATGTCACAATATGACATATCATTACGGTAATCAATAAATAAACTCGACTTGCGCTCTACTACACTTAAATCCACGCAATGATAAGAAGCTTAGTAACTCAAATTACTCAATCTTAAAAGATATACACTCTCGAAATTTTTTAATTGCAATTGCTGATATCGATACACATTATGAAACTAAAAAACTATCAATATTGATAAAGCCGAAAATAATGACCATAATCCCTCTTCCCGTATGATCGTCATCGATCGGAAATTTTTGTTCATTGTAATAATGCATAATTGGAGATTTTTACGAAAGCAATTATTATATTATTTAAAAAAATCCGACTTCCTTAATGATGAATTGACAATACTCTGAAATAATTATATCAGAATGACTGACTGACTAACTGACTGTAGCTAAAATATGTAGTTTATCTACAATATTAAAATATCGCAATCATATCTTACAATAGATCCCTCGAATATCACGTTTGAGCTCCTTATTATGTATCGTTTGATTATGCATAAAATAACAGTGAAAAGACACACATAATGAAAAAGATGCACGATCTTTTTATTTAAAATATTGTGCGCTTACCTGAAAAGCAAATTTTTTCTGCGCTCTAAACGGGTTGAAACGGGCGTGTCTTGCACACAACTGACACGAATGCATTATGGATATCAAAATGAGCCTTTCCGTCGATAAGATTATTCCTTAACTGGTATAGCGTATTCCCACTAGAGGATAACAGAACACCTAAATTTAACCTTCCACGAATAACCGCACATCTGTGTGGTTATGATAACGTTGATTCCACAAAATTTCCTATGACAAACAAACATAAGAATAAGGTTTCTAGTTTAATTAAATTTTTTTAATGTAACTATTTTTAATATTTTAAATAAAATATAAATTTGTAAAAATTTATTTATCTATTTATTTAGGCTTTAAATATTTAGTCATTAAAATTTTTAATCAAAAATATTTTGTTATTGAAATGAGATAATTATGTGACTACTAATTATTTCATCAGAGTGTTGATAAGTAAAATAATTTTTTATATTGGTATTATCGTAATCTATTTGTGATTGTAAAAAGAGCAGAGTTTAACGATATATTATATACGATATATATTATTTTCAGATTTCTTAAATATGTCCCATGTCTACGCTTAAAAGGAATGTAACGTTGTTTATCGTTATAGTTGTAAAATATTCTTAATGGTAAAATACCAGTTACGTAAATTTATCAGTAGAGCTTTATAACTTTGAGGCAACCGAGATCATCTTATTTGGACTGAAAAACAAATCACCAAAAAAAAAATGCCGATTTATCCAGAAACAAAATAAATTAAAAGTTGTAAATAACTAAAAGAGATAAATACAAAATACTAAGAACCATATAATCTTTCAATGATAATTGATCGCCATTATTTTTCTCGGAATTTTTTTTCTCCTATATAAATTTACTAATTACATATCTTTTTGCATGCAACCTATTTGAACATGCTGACAAAAACTTACAGATTTTATGCTCTTCTAAAATATTTTGGATCAATAGTTGCATCATAAAAGGCTGTGGTTGAACTGCAACACTTGCTTCTGATGCCCTCTTTTTTACAAAGATCACAGCCACAGGTTGATTCACGTAGTTGTCGACGATGGTATTTAGGAGGACACGGAGGTGGTTGTGGTTTTGTCTCACAACAGCAAGGAGCATAAGGATCCTCAAAATTATTAAATAATTAGATACAAGAATAAAATAAGAGATGCCTAAACATTTCATAAGACAGTGGAAAATGTATATTTTGTTAAATAAGTTGATGTTTTAAAATGTTTGCTGGTTATCTAATCGCAATAAATATATATTTTTCTAGAAATGTTCATAGAATTTAGTATTGACATGGTAAGGTTAAGGCCACTGAGATTATCTTATTCTGATTGAAAAATAAATCGCCTGAAAAAAAATTCTGATTCGTCCAGAAACAAATATACATATTAATGTGTTTGATTTTGTACCTGCATTTTTATATAACAGGAGACCATTTTAGGGCAAATTTGACTAGGAGATATGTATGGTTGTCCTGTACAAGGTGGACCAATATCGATTTCTTCTTCAACTTTCTTGTGCTCTGTACATCTCTTTTTCTTTTTGGGAGGACAAGCTTTAGTAAGGCGTTCAGAAACCCATTCCAGCCCTGAGTGCACTATACAAATAATTACAAGTTTAAAAAAACACAAAATAACTAATTAATCAATTTTCATAAAAATATACAAAAAATTATTGAAATTATTGAAATTACATTGAGATAAATAAATAATAATGTAAAATAGAATCTAATATGTAGTGACTAATTAATAAAACTCTGATCATTTCGCGTCACAACTGTTCGACATTAAAACATATATAAATTTACTGCAATCGATTACTTAATTGATCGAAGATACTTTCGCTTGATGTATCATCCGTCATAATGAATAATGATAAAAGTAAAGTTTTTTATAAGTTGCACTATTGTGAAAAAATATAGCAATCGTAATCATTTATAATTTTCCTGCATGATACATGTCGAAAACGCAAATATAACGCATTATGCGACCATTTGACAAATAAAACACATTCTCATGAAGTAATTGCAAACTTCAACCAAGTTACAAGACCTTTGATTTAGAGCGTCAGCCATTTTCTTCTCCGAAAGAAATTTAGTTATAATTGATATTCTCCCTGAATAACATCCTAATGATTTTAACTCATCTTACTCATTTATCTAAATATTTTATCTTTATGCATTCAAGGCAAAAAACAGATTAATCTATATATTATATATAATAATGAAAATTCACGATGGTCAAGAATCAAGAAGTGATCGTTAAAATAAATTTAATGAATCTGCGACGCTTTTATATATATATTGCACATAAGGTAACTGTGATTTATGCATCGCCGGGATTGCTTGCGTTTTTGCAACAAATAAAGTTGGGAAAGCGCATAAACAATAAAGTTTTATTATATATTCATTTTATGTGACGTACTTACGCATCTACTTACCTGCATGGAAGACAACAGAAAAGAAATGAAGGTAGAAATACCGCCAATTGTTAAGTATAACGGAAAAGACAATGCCGCCATTTTTTATGGTCGATTTACATTGTATTTGCTGTCCAATATACAAGACGTAATTTTTAGAGACTTTCTTTATCGTCATATTTGGCTCTAGAAAGCAGTTTTTTATTGGACATCAAATGTACATACATCAAATGATTGCTGCAATGTAAATTTGGCATAAAGTTAGTAATTAAATTATTGCGAGTTGGCAACACTTTCTAAACAGCAACTAGATAGAATCAAAATATATGACAGTATTTTTAACCATTTAAAGTTATTAATATTATTATTTATAATTGTCTAAACTAAAATGGATAATTATTGCGTTGAACTGGATCAGGAAACGGGACTGCACTGTACATTGCTTTTATTTACTAACGTCACAAATATCTCCAAAGTACGCGAGAAAATCATTATCGGCAAACTGCATTGTTGCGTGGTGAAGGCTTCACTTATTAGCGATGCGTTTCAAGCGGTGGTAGCTGCCAACAAAGCCGCCGTCAACGCTAAACAGAATCGATTGATCACCAGGACTGTATATACAGAGATTTTATATTGTCTGTCTATGTCGAAAAACATATCACGTTCCTTGACTGATTATGGCATTAGTAACAGCGATAAAAATATTTTGGTGATACTGATACACAAGCTTGATGAGGAGCAACCCATATTAGAGGTTTTAGGAAGTATCAAAGGAGAGAGAATACCTATTTCAAGAATACAAGAGTTTACAGATGTAAATCTTATTAAGAAGACTTATAAGATTGACGAAGATGAACTGTGTGTCTCTAGTCTTACCGATGCTATTGTATCAAGAATTAGTAGTAAAGAATTCATGTCAATAAAGTGAAGATTGGAAAGAAGAGAAATCTGTATATGTAAATTTTAATCTATATATGTTAAAGATAAAAGAAATTTGATTTTAAATATATTATTCAAGTAAATATTGGATCTATAATTATTTAGCTTATATACTTACATTTTTCAATCAATTATTTATCATTATTATATACTGTAGTTTTTATTTGTAATAATTGCTTCGTAATAAACTTTCCCACATATTGTAATACACAAGTATCCCATGTTGAGAAATAATAGTCAACTGACATTTGTGTGTGAAAGAAATACCTATATAATATACATACAATCTATGTTGATTTTACCATATCAAATCCAGCTATTATAAATTGTCTAATTCCATAGTATTAACACAAATTTCTTTGCAAGCTGTAATTGTAACAGCAACAATTAAGTTTTAATACTTTGAAATCTTGAGTTCGTTATCAAAACAACTCCCTCATCATTTCCTCGTCATATTCCTCGACATCTTCTCTGCAAACATATAAAAATTCATAATAAATCTTTCCAATCTGTTAGAATCAATTCAGATGTCAGAATTTCACAAGACACCTTGTTAGTATCTAAATTATCTAGATGGACTGTTGCAAATTAGCTGTAAATAAAAAATGTGTCAGAAAAAAGCTTAGGGAGGGGAAAATATACGTCAGTAGGGAAGGTACTTCGGCGTTGTTTCTTTTTTTTATTCACTCATAAATAAGGCCAAAGATGCGTAGAAAACAATTGTTATGTCCGCGAGGATGTGTACGTGTCAAATCCTGCGGAAGCGAAATAGTAGATTTAAAGACAGCACCCTTTAAACGCACGTGGAATTCATCATTAACGCTTTTGACAATTTATTATGAGTACCTTGGCAGATTGCACATCTCGCAAACTGCTAAGTCTGCAGCATTCAGAAAAGTGCAGTGAGAACAAGTCCAGAGAGCTTGATCAGGAGACGGATTCGCGATCGGCTCTGCACCGACGCCTATGCCTCCGCTTCTTTCCGTTGTTGCAGAAGATGACGTCCTTGAGTTACTACCGAAGGACATGGTTTGCGAAGGACGTGATGATGTAGAGGCCGCGGATATCAGCTGCTCCACCGTCGCCCAGTGCTCAGATTGCGCCCATTCCAATGCTTTCCGCTTGTCCTTGGCGCGAATAGCTTCGAGCAACGGTAACATGTGATCCTGCGGGATAAAATATTTGTCAGTAATTATCATTGATAATTTCATTATTGGTAAGATATTGCAAATACTGATTAGTTATACCTTCATCGGATACATGTCCATGGTGGCAATAAAGAGTAGTAAATGAAAATCAGAAGTTGCCTCCATGAATTGATCAGCACTGAATTGTTGCATGTAAGTGCATAATGCATTGAACTCCTGGACTTGTCCATCGACTTGTCTGAAATAGAGAAAGATATTAATGTGATTAGAAATATATTAATGTATTTGTGTTTTATAGGCTCATTTGAATACAATACCTGTTCTCAACTGGAAATGGAGTGATGTTATCATCCGTGAAAAAAGTAAACTGGGGAGTGAGTGGTGTAGATGCAGGTACATCTACCAATAAGTATTCTACTGGCAAAGGTCTTGCTAGTCTTGTTACTTCGTTTCCATACGTGTCTTTCTCCTAAACAGAAAAAAATCACGTTATTACAATTAAATTCGTTAGATTTATAAAGAAAAAATTCTGTGTCGATTGTAAAGGTCTTTCCAACGGTTTGTGTTTTCCCGCTATAAAAGCAAGTTTATAATGCATCATGAATGCACTATGCGGCGCTGTTTGTCGCGCGTGCGTCGAGTGCATCAGCGCGACAACGCGACGATAGGGCTATGTAGAGCGGTCAAGAAAAGAGGGGAGAAAAGAGGGGAACGACAAAGCGCGTAAGCGTAAGCGACTAGCGCGCGCCGCGGTGTGTGTCGGTCGGTCGGTCGGTCGGTCGTCGTCGCCATGCTAGTGGTTAGTTTAGTGAACCAAACATCATGATGTGGCAAAACGTTTACACGAGCTAAGGCCGTAGCCACGCCGCGTAAACCGGCACGCCGTCGTTATGTTATCCACAGTAACACTCACGACGTTCGATAAACACGTATAAACACGTAACGCGAAAAGTACAAAAAGTATCTATATACACACACGACACACAGTAGGCAGAGAGAGCGAGAGCGAGAGCGAAAGAGAGAGAGAGAGCGAGAGAGAGAATACGTATACGTATCTTGTAGTAAAGGGAAAAAATAAATAAGAAAATACACGAGGGGGTCTCGCGACAGCAGCAGCGGCGACGAGGACAACGACAGCAACGACGACAGCAACGACAACGATAACGACGGTAACGACGACACGACGACAACGATATTGGTGGTAGTGATTGGTGCTCGTGGTGGTGGTGGTTGTTGTTCGGTGCGAGCGGAACCGCGCGCGGCACGTCAGGACCGATGTAAGTCAAAGCCGCTGCCGCCAAATCGTACACGGCCGAGCGTATATCGTCGCGCAGTGAACGTCGTCGCGGCACGCGCCGTAAGTGACGAGTGCCAACGATCAGCCTCCATAGCGCGGCAAGGAAACGATCGCGAACGTATACAGGGTACGGAAGCACTTACAGAATCCTACGGTCTAAAGAGCGAGAAAGAGAGAGAGAGGGAAAGTTAGCGGGGTGAAAGAAAGAATTGGAGCGTCTGGATGTATACACGTGTGCCTGTATATTGCGTGCCTTTACATGAGAATGCCTGTATGTGAGCAATGTGCAAAGAGATCGACGCTGTGTGAATGAGAGAGAAGGCATGCCGAATCGCGAGAATGAGGGAGAAAGAGAGGAAGAGATATCGAAGTGCGCGCGCGCGCGCGCATATCCAGAGACGGAGGGGAAAAGAGCGAGACGAAGCGCGCACAACGTTCCCGCGGAATCTGTCTGACACGCAGTAGTCCGCCAGCGGTTTCCGACCCGAATGTCGACTCGTCGCGATCGACGTAGCTATCGCAGGTAATACACCACGAGAGTTTGGAGAGGAACGGGTGATTCAGTCGCATGTGTGTGTGCATTGTACGCATGCAGTGCGCGACACGACGTCGCGAAGAAGTGCCGCGAACACTCGATACACGTACTCTCCCTCCCGCCGGCCCCCCCGGTTCGAGGACTCATCCCCCTCTCTCCCTTCCCTTTGCACCGCTCTTCCTCACGGCAGTGCGCGCGAGAGGAGGCACTTCGCGGCGCTTAAAGAATGGCGAATCCCGAAGCGCCCGTGCTCCGTTCTCCTCGCGACGGTTTTGGCGGGATTTCCAACGCATGCGTGCGAGCGTTGCGAGGTGTTATTTTCTTTCTCTCTCTCTTTCTCTCCCTCGCTTGCTCGCTTGCTCGCTCGCTCGCTCGCTCGTTCGCCCGCCCGCCTGCCCGCTTGTTACCAGCGAGCTTCCTCTTCGAAGCCTGTCGTTGCATAATGACTTATCTATCGCGTGCCGATATCGCGTTGAACGCCGAGTCTACCTAACTTAGGAATTTCGCGAGCACGCGCGAGGCCGGATGATCCGCGGAATATGGCAGGCACGCGAACGAAACGCGAAACATGTGGCTGGCAGGGTTTTGAAAACATCGCTCTGACTCGACTACTCGCAGTCATTCTTGGAAGCGTAAGGATTCCATATTTATAAATAAGTTAGAACCTCTAATCCTTTAAGGAGCGGTATAGTAATTTCTTGAAAAATAAAAATTGTTCTTTATACTTTTATGAATGTACAGGAAACAACCATAAATGTCGGTCTTGCGAATTATATTGCTCTAAACATTTCTAAGAAAGACTGCACTTAGATAACTTCAGAATTTACATTTCGATAAGCAATTTCGTATGCTTTTATAAATATATTTCGCTACGATACAAACAGAAAGAGAGAGAGAGAGAGAATTAATCAATCGCGATTAATTAACGATAAATCATTGGTAAATCAGACATCAACATCAAGCTCTGGCCAAAGGTTAGATATTTGTATTAATGTGTTTACCGAAACTGTAAGTAAAATTTTATAAATTAAAATAGTATTGTTAATGTCAAATTTTCAATAAGTTTCACTTAATCATGATTAAGTGAAGCTCTTCAATACAAAAGTGTTTGAATATTTTCTAGAAAATTTAATTTAAAAACCGCAAATATATATTCATCTTTCTTTATCTTTAATTTTAAACGATTAAGCAAGTCCTATTTGCGATATATTAATAAATGTCATATGCATTGATCAAAATAATTATCGTTCTTTTAAATTTAAATTTTTCCTTTATATGAAATAAACTCAGAGTAAATAAGATATCAGAGACATTCCGCTAAAATTGAAATATCTTGTTTATATAGATGTTTTTATTGACAACCAAGATTGGATATCAGGACAAGTTTTCTAAATATGGCATATGTTTCAAAATGCAGAATTTTAAGACGTAATTCTTCAATTATCTTGTGCAATATATTATTCTCGCAATTTACAGTACTTGAATCATTGATAAACTATTGAAAATTTTTTTAGAATGGTCGAGATGTTTTTTTTCTGATGAGGCAAACAAGTGTCGGAAGGATTAAGGGCGAACGGTGTCGCGTTCACGGACGAGCTCAAGTCGGGCGCGCTTTCCCGCCTTTTAGCGGCCCGGTCATCGCGGTTTCTCGAGCGTGCATCGAACGGCCGCGCGTTGGCGAGTGTTTACCGTCGTCACGTGTACGTCGCGTCCTATCGATTCTCCCGCTCACCCGAATCGCATTCAGCGAATCTCGGCCAAAAGCAGCCACAGCTCGAGCGAGCAAACGGGAGGATCAGCTAGCAAAGGATGTTACACATTGTATATAGGACACAAACGATGCCGCGATGCAAGACGCTTGTTCTTGTTCGCGCGCAAGAAACATCCGTTAACGAGGAAACGTCGATGACTCGATGACGCACGAGTGCGATATAGGTCAAGGAATATGGGCCGACGCGGCGGCGGCGGCAGAGGTTTTCGTGCCGCACGTACTTGAAATCGGGAAAGTCCACCGGGATAACGACGGCGGAATTGCAGACGAGTCTACGGTCGGCGGCGGCGGCGCGTAGATCATAGTAATGTAGTAATTCTCGAGAGAGCGAAACCCCGTGCGAAAAAGCGATGGTGTGAAAGAAAAAAAAGCGGAGCAAGGCGAGAGAGAGAGAGAGACGGGCGGTAGTGTATACGAAGCTGGTTTGTTTACATTCGCGGATGACGACTTGACCTCGTAGGGGTTTTTCCTCGCGCGTAAATGAAGTACGTCCTGTTTGAATCGGACATTCCTGTGCACACGTGCCTGACGGTAAAGTTTGCTCTGTTAGAAACATCTTCCGTATGTGAGAGAAAGAACGAAAGAGAGGGAAAGAGAGAGATTTGTCACGTCTAAATAAATCGCGCGCACTCGATTTGTACACCGCACGCGATCCTTCGGATTTTTATCTTGAATCATTTAGAAGGTAAACATCTAAGCGATTTCGAACGTCGTTGCGATTCGTTGGCGCTACGTCCGTACACTTTAGAGTTCGTAATATTAGTCCGATAACTAAAATTTCTCCGAAATAATCGAACGGAATGGATGAAATGACGGATTCCGTTAAAACGAACAACAGTGACGAATAAAATTCATGTGACAATGACGATCCGTACGACAAAATGTTCGTCTCGAGCGACAAATCGATTCAAGTCGCCGTACAAATTTTACGATCAGGACGACTGCGACGATTAGAATTGCAAATTCTAATTCGGCTGCAATGGAAATTTTATCTTGCGACGGCTACACGTTGTTTCTTTTTTGAAGCGTTACGAGATTTACGCATCCTACGTGTGTCCGTGTGTGTGTATACGATAAAATCGCGAGGCAAAGATATACACGCACGTGTTGCGCTTCCAGATGCTGGATCCGAGCGTGCTAACGGACGTGGAGGAGCTAACGCTTTGCGGTTATTGCAACCAGAAGTACAATGACGTGGAGCAATGTCCCAAGTACCTCAGCTGCAAGCACTACTTCTGCCTGCGCTGCATCGAGAACACTCTATTGAAGGGACGCGACTTGTTCTGCGCGCACTGCTGGAAGAAGACGGACCTAGGTGACCAGGGCCCGGACGCTCTACCAACTCACTCTGCTCTACTTGCTCTAGCCAACAACCTGTCGCGTCTCAAGATCACGACGAATAACACGTCCGGCAAACCCGGCGACAAGGAGAGGAAGGTAATGAATGATGAATCGATTATTTTATGCTTCAATAAAATTCTTTTAAATCTCAACCTCATCGGATTCATAACCCTATATTTGGATTAATTTTGAGAGACTAAAATGAGGAAATAGTGTTTCAGATTAGCAAGTATGATAAACTGTGAAATAATACGAACTTTGAAACTATATTTCCGCAATAGTATTTGTAGGCTTGAAAGTTAAATTATGCGATTGTTGATTTATTTAAATTTCACGCTCTTCCTATAAAATTTATTTGAAATGCGAGATGAAAATTAGATGATGATATCGAATTGAAACAAGAATAACGATACATGATTAAAAAATGATAAATTAATTCTCTCGTTTTAATTCGATAATTAATTTATGTTTGCATGATAATAAATTAATTGTATAGATTGCAACGTCGCAATGTTATACAAATTTAAGAGAGCAGTACATACTATAGATTTATTTGCGGAAAGATCATGGGAAAATACAATGTCGCTACATATAAATTCTTGGCGTTGAAAAGGACGTTCGTTTCGAATGCAAAACGCATAATGCATATGCGTATACGCGACGGAGAAGACGCGTCGCGAAGCCGTACTGAGAAAAAACGTTCCCGGCAATAATAGGATGATGTTATAAAAGCTTTCATTACTCTCTTCTTCTCTCGAACGGCTATTTCCGAGTTTGCGATATTTTTACGATTGCGCATTTTGTTTTTCGAAATATAAAAAAATTCGTTATTTATAATGTTGCGAGAGATTGCAATTTTTTTGTGTTTATGGCATAAACGGCCGATGACGCTTGATATTTTTCGCAGAGCGAGAACTGTCACACGCACGGAATGCCACTGGCATTGTGGTGTGCGACATGTTGCACGGCGCTTTGTAGAGCGTGCGCTCCACAGGAGCACCCGGGTCATCAGATTAAATCGCAGACCGATGCCAAAGAACAGCTCATATCCGACGTAAGTTGTTTTTCGCTGTCAGTCCAAGTTTCGAGGGATCGGTTTGAAGAATTGGAGGAAAACTAACGACAGGAAAAATCCTATGGTTCGTTTTCGCAGGTTCAACTGGAATTAGTCGCCGTGGGTAAATTGTCGACGGAGATTCAAAGACTGGCTATGCAGCAACGCGAATTCCTGATAAAGGTGCTGGAAGCTTGCGTCACGCTGAAGACGCATGTAGAGACAGATCTGCAAAACGGCTGGGGCCATTTTCCCGAGATAACGGACGCGCGCGAGACCCTAGGGAAGACGAAGGCCGGATTGCAGATGAGCGAAACTCCGGGTGACGTATATAGCTTGCATTCACAACTAGTACTTGAAAAACAGAGGCTGCAATCTAAGTATCAGGAGATGATGCTGCAGTGTCAGCTGGATGATCTCATTGGCAATTCCGGCGTGATTTTCGATTTCGCTCTGCTGAAGCAGGCATTGGCGGGCATTCACACGGGGGATCCGATCGTCCCTCAAGGCAATGGTCGTCTGCCGAATCATTTAGCGGCCTCGCAGAACCCGATACTGTTCCTCGCGAATTACTGCATGTCCCAATTGTACACGCGCCACGTCGTCAGCAAGCAGCACCTGCAGAACGGCTCGATGGAGTATCATCACTCGAGCATGATGCCACCGCCGCCGCAGGCACCGCCGGGCTCGGTTCATGTTCATCAGGGTCCGCCGGCGCCGCCACCGGGACCGAATCAGGCACCGCAGCAGCTTCTCATTCCACCCGGCTCACCGTCCGTTAAACCCGTACCGCCCGCGCCGCCCAACGCGATACTACATCCGCAGCAGCAGTCAACGTTCATGCCCGACGGTACCGGCGGTGCAGGCGGCGGCAGTCTAGTGCCCGTCCACTCGTCCCCCCAACCGCCGTCCAACGCGATAACGGCAACACTTACGCGGGGCCCGGCGAATCCGTATCCCTTGTACTACTTCAACATCGAAGTGAACGGCTCGCCACACGGGCGCATCGTCATCGAGGTGCGACCAGACGCGGCGCCGAAGATGGCGAAGAACTTCAGCGTGCTATCGACGGGGGAGGCAGGGGTCGGCTACAAGGGTTGTACGATATTCCAGTGCTGGGAGGGCGAATCCGTGATCACGGGCGACTTCGAGCTTAATAACGGCCGCGGCGGGCGCAGCATATTCGAGGAGGGCTATTTTATGCCAGACGACACCAAGTTCCCGGCGGTCAGGGGCGCGGTGGGCATGAGACGGACGCAGAAGCGGCACGACAACCTCGGTATGGTCGGCTCGCAGTTTCGCATAATACTGCAGGAGATGCGCGGCTTCACCGGCATCTTCGGTCACGTGATCGAGGGCCTGGAGTTGGTGGAGAAGATATCTACGTTCGGCGATCAGACCGGCAAGCCTACCAAGAGTATTCTAATCACGAAGTGCGGTAAATTGTAACATTTACGCTGTCGTCGCGCGGTTTGTTGTAGCGTGGGTCAGGATCTCTAAGGACAGAGATGCCCATACCCCTTATATATTATATGAAACGCCGTACACACGTTTTCCCGCTATAGATAACCGAAGGAAAGTCGCGACGGTATCCCCGACTCGCGCGTTCGGCCGTAAGAGAAACCTATATATAAGAAAAAAAAATATATATATCTATATATATATATATATACAAAAAAGAAATCGTGTTACACGTAATTGTCCGACGACGGGAGACGATTATTACTATACTATTACACACGCCGCGTATGTTTGCCCGGGGACACCGTCGCGACACGTTTATTAGCTCCGCGAATCCTCGAACGCTCCGTACGAGTCACGCAACTTAATTAACTATTAATACAATAGTGTCTAAAGATGTCGAATCTATTTTTAAAACGTTGGCGCGTGCGAGAAGATGAAAAAGAGATAAAAAAAATCCATATTTTGCTATTGACCGGGAATCGATACGAGATTCTGCTAACAATAACGACGATGATCGACACACATACGTACCTCAGATCGACCGTGATATCGATATGACTTCTCTAGCTGATACGACGTATTTGTTTTTCTTTTTAGGGGGAGGGGGGTGGGAGGGAAAAGAGGTCCGACGTTTATTTTGACTATTATCGGCGTTAATTATCTTGTTACACTACGTTATGATTCGTAGAGCGCGTATCGCACGTCGGGTGTGATATAGAGAAGAAAAGTGCCGCACGATTTGCGGCGGGATAGTTTTCTCCGCCTGGCTGCGAACGCAGCTGATGTTTTAGGTCTTAGATAGTGAATAAAAGGAAAAAAATACGTGTAGAATTGGGGAAATTAAGTGTAGCGAAAACTTAAATCGGGGCAACCAGACCACGCATCGTGCACAATTATGCACGATTATATATATATTTGTAATATATATATATATATATATATATATATATATATATATATAAGTATATACGGATGGAAAGTCAAAAAATAAAAGTACTCCTTTAATTTAAATTGACCTACATTTCAATTTTGTGAGAATATTAGAAGATTGATTCCCCAAATGTCCTTTTATTTTTAGACTTATCCTCGCAGTTCGTTATTTTGAGCGGTGTGATAAATCTGTGGAGCAGTGATTGATCTCTACATAATTTACTACTGCAATTAAAAACGTAAGTCGATACAGATGTTTAAACACGAAGCTTTTAAATCCGACAGATTACGTTAGCGTCGTTAATTAGCGCCGAGTTAAAGGAATGTCTGATTAGTATCGGACGGCACGTTAATATCAATCTCGTTAAATTACGAGAACGATACTGCGCTCCAAATTACATAACCGTCAAGCGATGATGTTCGCCGTGGTCGTTTTCGTGAGAGTTCTCGGTGGGAGTCGACGGGAATCAAGAGCA